GATTTCCTCGGGTAATTGATTTTCTGTCTGTGTTAACAAGACAATACACAGTATCGTTTGTAAAGGCAACACATGCAGGATATCCAGAAGACAACATCCCCTGACAAAGAAAGCTACTTGAAAGAGCTTTGCACACTAAATTATTTCATGCATATTCATAACTTGATTAAAATATTAATACTGTAAAGTTGTAAGAAAAACAACAGGCACAGAAACAGCTTTTATTTACTTACACCAGGAGCTGAACATGGCACACACACAAAGGACTGTCAGCATTACTCAGTGCTGGAAACTCACACGTGTGCAATATATATCTGTATATTAGCCTGCAGATAAACATTTACTCCCAAGGGAGGCTGCTAATGAGACTCTGCTGTGGGGAAGATATCCAATTACTCCGAATGACATTTATATTTTAATCACATCACATGCACTGAAGAGCTTGAGGTTTGATGAAGCAATCCTTGAAAGACTTTGCCTTTTTAATCAATTAGCTCTCTAAACATCAGTGACGTGCTGTTGACAAGTCCTTGGGTTAAATATACAACAACAACAAATCCTCTCTCCCCGCCAGGAGGAAACAATGTGCTCTTCTAAAACTTCTGAAACAGGTGCAAAAGTTTTCCTCATAGAAGACACCTAAAACAGAACACTAAGAAATAAAGATACCCCCAGGCTCACTCTGAGCTACCACACAGTGAATTCATTTTAGGACAGATGAAAAGCTTTGTTTTAAGGGCAACACTCCTGTGTAAAACCATCAGACTCACTCACAAATCCTTTTATAATTGGCTTATCTGAATAAAACAAAGTCAGGCAAAACAATTTGCTTTCTTCAAGCAACCTGTAAGTGACAAAAGCCACTGCACACATGGAGATGAAAGTTTGGTCATTTTTAACATGTTTCAGCATTAATCAGCATTTTAAGATGCTCCAAGTCATAGAAATAAGTACAAAAATGAAGAAAAACAGAGCTGCACGACCCTAATCCAATCATTCTTCAAATTAGTATTGGATTTTTCCTGTAAACAGTAAATCCTCATGGCTGGTGTATTAAACAACAGACCACTGCTATTTCTGAGAGCTTGCATGAAAAGCCCACTTTAAAAATGAAACTCAGTTCTGTACTCACAAATATTTCTTAATAAGTAAAAACCTAGAACTGAGTCAGTTGTTATCATTATCCTCCCTAAATGGCTCTGAATTCAACCAAAAATGTGCATTAACAAGATTCCAAGATTCCTAATTCAGTCAGATCAGGGCAGCCCAATCAAAAGGTGCAAGGATAAATATTTTGAAAGCTAAAAATTAATTTGATAATTAAGAAACTGGGAGAAAATGTGGAGCAGAACAGAAATATCACCATCCTTGTAGTTTGGATCTTGCAGCTTGAGAGCTATTTTGCTGAAGGTGCTCAAAGATACCTATTGAACTTTGCAGTAAAGTTCGTATTTAGGTACATTTTTTTTCCTGCAACCACTTGTTTTTGGGTTTTGACGCTTTGTTGTTTGGAGTTAGGGTTTGTTAGCTTATTTTTTTAACTCCTGCAACTCAATTTTCCTTATAATAGGAAATTCCTTAAAAGTCCTTATAATAAATCTCTTCTAACTAATCCCTCCTTCAATACCACTAAATCCTGAGGGCTAAAATGCCCTTTAGCACAGATCTCTATAAAGGCAGAGAAGCTTGAGTTGCTAAATTTCAATACCTAATCTGGTCTTTAATTGCTAAGTGAGCTCTCAGCAATTGCCATGAACACAACACCTAGAACTGAGTCAGTTGTTATCATTATCCTCCCTAAATGGCTCTGAATTCAACCAAATCAATACTCAACTACCAAAAATGTGCATTGCTTCTAAGGGTGCCCATCTGCAGGATAGAAGAGATCTTATATAACAAGTACAGGTTTCTGCCTTTGATGGAATGACTGACGTTGATAATTATGGCAACTGGAGGAAAAAGAAATTGCCAGTCTTAAACATAGAAAACATGGTTGCTCTTGATCTAAAATACATTCAAATTGGCAATACACTCAGTTTCAGCAATCATCAACAGAAGTTTTCACACCTCCATTTTTATGAAATGACATTTATTACCAAGCAAAGCACCGGAGTGGAATGTGCACCTTTTTCTTTTGCATTCTGGGATACAAAATATGCCAGTCTATTGCTGGGAGTGACATGAGCTGTTAGGTTGAAGCTCAAAGACATCTGGGAGGCACAGATGGTTCAGAACCCTCAAGTAGCTGTGGAACCATTCCCTTCAAGGTCAGGCTTCTGCCACTGCAAGGATTGCTAATGACACAAAGCCAGCAAGACCTTTTCAGAAAGGGCTCCTTCTCCTCTGTCCAGTTCCTCATTTCCTGGCACTCACCACAGAGATGAGCTCAGACCCAGCCTCAAATCATTTCTGTTAATGGCTTTTCCTCTCCAAGGGAGGTGAAACTTGCAGCCCTTCCACTCCTAGAAATCTCTTCTGCAGGAGAGCTCAAGCTGCTGCTGCCTGGATTCCAGTCCCAGGGCTTCCAAATTCACCAGTGAATCTCTGAAAAGAGATTCCTGAACTGAACTCAATGCTCCATAAAAAACTTTGCACTGGCTGTCTATAAAACCACAGGAAACAGAGTGTTTAAACCTCTGCAACATAAAAGTTCCAAAATGTGAATAATTGCCACTTTAGAAAACTGAGGGAACTATTGAATACTATTGCAATAGCAAAAGATCACTTCTGTGCTAATATTATCTGAATAGGAAAGCTCTCCTTTTGGCCTACCTAGAGATGATATTCTTGCAACCATTACCAGCAAATAAAGTGCAGCTCTTCATGAAACTAAATAGTGACCTGAATTTGGAACACTACCATGCCCATCACTTTCAGATGTCAATGAATGCTCTGAATGACCTATTGAAATACCAGAATTATTCCCCAGAATCCCAATGAGGCAAGAACTGAGCTGTGTGAAAATATGAGAATTCTTCCACAGGCATTTGCCATTATGGTGACTCTACCAAGAGCTTTTCTGTTAGCTACCTTTCCTCAGAAGATTTTGGATCAAAGGCATAAAGAGTGGTGAAAATAATGGAATATTTTAGAGAGAAATAAAGAGAGAAGAAAAGCACAACCAAGAAATTACTGATTATTATGGTTCATGATTTACATATCATAGTAATAAGCTACATGAAGAGATCTCCTATGGGGTGGTGTAGGTGATGAATTACACACACAATCATAAAGAAGAGAAAGGTTCTGATGTAGCATCAGCTTCTGAAGTCTTTGCTCGCCCTGTAACTCCATGTATTCCAGAAAGGAGTTCTGTTGACAGGAACAGGTCTACTTTCAAAGTGAGATGCAACTGAACTGACAGGTATCAAAGGCACCTCACAGGGTTTTGTTGCAAATCAAAAGATTTGCATCAATATTCAGGAGAAATGAGCACCGAGGAAAAAATCAAACACCAGTAAATTGGACAAGTTATTAATTAATCATGAGGGATTCAGAAAAGACTCATCAAAGCATTCCGTTTCATCGGGTCTAAGTCAATATCACAGCTTAACAGATGTCCTGTACTGCCTGCATCTGTGACCAACAGCATCCATCCTCAGGAAAACAAGCGAGCAAACAGCAAAATGTGATCCCGGTTCTGTGGTACTCCTGAGAGATCACAAAGACTGAGAGCACTCATCTTTAAACAGTTAGCAATAGAAATGAAAGCTTGTGTAACTTTTCATTGTTCAAATGCAGGCAGAACACAAACTGAGTGGAAGAAAGGGCTGCAATACACAAAGCAAAATGATGGATAACTGCTTTCTCCTAAAAAAAAAAAAAAAAAAAAAAAAAGCTAAGAGAATAAATGGTCCTGCAGCGATAGCTGCACATCTTTCAACAAGCAGATTTTCGTGACTTTCCTCCCTGCCCCAACAGAGTGCGGAGAAGCTTCCGAAACCCTTTCTCCCACGTTTCGTCTCCCGCGGTCCCTGCTCAGCTCCAGCGCCGGCGCTGCAGCTCCGCGGCCCCGGCGCTCCAGCTGCTGCCAGATCCAGCTGTTGAGGCGCGTTCACAGCCCCGCCGGGTGAGACTTGACCCCACAGACCGCCACCGACCCACCAGCACCTTTGAGGCTGCATTGTTTTGGCTGGTGGCTTCTTGCGCACTTCTCTCCCAAACAGCAGCTTCTCCAAGAAAAATTCCACTCGGCTCTTCGGCAAAACGCCGGGGCTGGGAGAGTTCCCTCAAAGCCTCACCTGGGCGAAATATTCCACCCTGAGCATCCCAGAGGGGGCACCGGCGGCTGCTCGGGCATCCCGAGAGGGGTTCGCACCCACCGGGCGAGCCCCGCACCTCCATCCCGCACCTCCCTCCCGCACCGCCCGGCCGGTGCGAGCGGCTCTCAGAGCAGCACCGGGCCGAAGTTGCCGCGGTGCCGCTGCCCGCCGCCGCCCGCCGCTACTCACACGAAGACCCCGAAGAGCAGCACCCGTATGCCGATCTCGATCGCCAGCTCCCGCATGGTGGGTCCGGCGCTGCCGCAGCCCCGCACGCCGCCTGTCACGCCCGGGGGCAGCGGGGCCGCCTCGGGCCGCCCGTCCCGCAGCGCCGGAGCCCCGCGCGGAGCCCGCCCGGCCCCGCCATCCCTCGGCCGCCGCCGCTCTGCGGGGCGCGGCGCTGGCGCGGCGGAGCGAGCGCCGGGGGAGGGTCCCGGTGAATAACGCCGTGTCTGTCCCCGATCGGGGGAGGGTCCCGGTGAACAACGCGGTGTCCCCGATCGGGGGAGGGTCCCGGTAACTAATGCGACGTCCCCGATCGGGGGAGTGTCCCGGTAATTAACGCGGTGTCCCCGCTCGGGGGAGGGTCCCGGTAATTAACGCGGTGTTGCCGATCGGGGGAGGGTCCCGGTGAATAACGCGGTGTCACCACTCGGGGGAGGGTCCCGGTGGATAACGCGGTGTCACCACTCGGGGGAGGGTCCCGGTAATTAACGCGGTGTCCCCGCTCGGGGGAGGGTCCCGGTGGATAACGCGGTGTCTGTCCCCGCTCGGGGGAGGGTCCCGGTGGATAACGCGGTGTCCCCGCTCATGGGAGGGTCCCGGTAATTAACGCGGCGTCCCCGCTCATGGGAGGGTCCCGGTAATTAACGCGGTGTCCCCGCTCGGGGGAGGGTCCCGGTAATTAACGCGGTGTCCCCGCTCATGGGAGGGTCCCGGTGGATAACGCGGTGTCCCCGCTCGGGGGAGGGTCCCGGTGGCTAACGCGGTGTCCCCGCTCGGGGGAGGGTCCCGGTAATTAACGCGGTGTCCCCGCTCATGGGAGGGTCCCGGTAATTAACGCGGTGTCCCCGCTCGGGGGAGGGTCCCGGTGGCTAACGCGGTGTCCCCGCTCGGCGGAGGGGGCCGGGGATCCTGGGGATTTCCCCTCCCCGCCTCCCCGCCCGCCCCGCGGCGCTGCCGAGCGGAGCCGCAGCCGAGCCCGGCCGGGTCCGTCCCGCCGCCCGGGGCTCGCCGGCACCGGGACGCTGTGCCCGCCTAACGCGGGGAAGGGGCGCGATGAGAGCGATTTCTCCGCTCCTCTCGGCGCGGCGCTCCGCATCCTTCCCTGGAGGGAACCCATCGGTGCGCGGGGATGGCTCCCCAGGGCACCGCCGCCGCACGCTGGATGGCAGCTCCGGCCGTGGGCCGGCGGTCCGGGGCTCATCGCTGGCTCGCAATGAAGCCCCGCGCTTGGAAAGGATGGAGAAGAGCAATAATGAACGGGGCCGGCGGGAGGGAGCATCGCCGCACACGGATAACGCCGGGTGTTCACAAACCCGCGCTGCCGGCCCGGTGTAAGAGGGACAGTCACGCACCGCACCAGCCGAGCCGAGCCTGGCCATTCGCTTTATCTTGCCATAAAGGACTAACACAGCTCGAACACGCTCTGCTGCATGTGTTTATATAACAGGCTTTTCACCTGCTCACACATCCGTGCCGTACTAAACCCTACTCCTCATTGTTAATGCAGATAACCCAGCGTGGCGCCCCGGTGTCCCTTGGTCAGATTCTGCATAATGTGTGATATTATAGCCTAAAGATGTCATTAACCCAGTGCCTGTTCTTTCCCAGAGATGAGTTTAGCTAAACATGCAGAGGTTGTTGTTATATGTGACCCCAAATTGCTGGGATGGGAGAAAGGCAGCAAAACAAGCAATGATTTGGTTTAGTCCTGTGATCCCTCCAATCCATCCACCATTCTCTCAATGGCATTCTCTGAGTTGCCCAATCCTTGTATTTTCTCAGTCTACTTTTGCACAGAGTTCACTTAACTTCCTTTGACATCCTAAGCATGGAGAAACTCCAGAACATCTTTAGTGTAAGAGAGTTTCAGCCTTAAGTCATGAAAGGCAGCAAACTAATTCACATTTAAATGTATTTAATTATCTGCTTTCTTAGAGCATTTGAAGGGGATGTCCTCCAGGAAAGTGTTCGTAGCTATTAACACTGCACATATCTACAAACCAGCCATCAGGACTGCAGCAGGAATCCAATCCACTTTCCTACATGATTATTGCTGCAGAATTAATGCCAGAGAGGCTTTGTTAAGCCTATCTGCCTAATATATGCACTGTGCATTAAAGGGAAGCTTTGAACTCTGAATTAACTACTAAGCAGTAAAACTTTTATTGACCATGTTTGTGGAAGAACAGAGACATAAGATTCTGTGCTAAACTCATCTACAGAGAACTACACCAGTGCTTGATTTGTTGCAAGGAGAATTACCGAAACCCAGAAAACCCAGATGTGTGACTGGCATTGGAGAAAACACTAACCATCTTACTTATAAAAAGACATCTTTCTCCCTTTTATTTCATTAATTTCCAGACAAAGCTCAGTCAGCTACTTATATTCTGGATTTTAAAAAATGTAATTTGCTCTCAGGAAGCAAAGCTAAATTGTGAAATCTCCGTATTCAACTGGTGGTGGTGGTGGTGGCAAAGGACATGCCACCTTCCTTTGAGGGCACTCAGTTGGTCTTCTGTTGCCAAATATTTGTACTTCCTCTGGTTTGTGCCCCCAGTGACTGAAGGTGTACCTACACTCCTGGCAGGTGTGCACAGGAATAATCCTTGTTTTTATTAATAGTCAGAAATAGCCTCGTAATTTGTGTGGATCAAGCCAGTCATGAAACAAGGAGTTCTCCTTACAAATGGAACAAGATTTGTCTTGCTGCAGTGTTCTGGCTCTCCAACATGTATCAGCTGATGGTGATTTATGAAGCATAAATACTTCAGACTGATTTTTCTTTTTTAACTAGACCCAGCTTGCAGCTGGTTGCTGAACAAAAACTTGCTTTGACTTTTAAACTGAATATGAGCTATCGTGGTAAATAGCAAGAAAAAAGATTTTAGGCTAAATTGTGGAATTAAGCTACAAGCTAGCAGGAGGTACAGCACAGCCACTGCACTAGAGCACATTCCTAGAGCAAACCACGGTGACCCTGGAAACATCCCAGATTTTTATCTATCCCTACACCAGGCACAGCAGGTGCCCTCAAAGCTATTTATGCTTTTAAGAGTGACTGGAGGGGAGAGAGAACTGATCCCACCCCGATGGAGGCAGCTGTCCATCCTTTTAGGGGGCTAACTTGGGTTCTCTGTACTTTTCTCTCACAAAGATTAGTTTCTCTTTGAGCCACCTGCAGCCAACTTTCAGTCCTCAAAGAGGTGCTCACAGCCAGAGCTGACCTGGCTTTTCTGGAGATTACAGCCTTGTGCCAGGATGTGTGCATGATTCTTACCTGCCTTGGGGCAAAATCATGGTAAGCTGAGCTTAAAAAAATCTTGATTTTTCTATCAAAACAGGAAAATTTCATCCTGCCAAAAGGCTGTGGAAAATAGCAAGCTTGCAGCAGAAGGGACATGAGAAAAAAACAGGTGGTAGTAACACCTGAAACTCTGAAACCAGGCAAGAGTCTCAACACAACACATAAAAGTGAAATTATTTTGTATGTTTTAAAAAGGATTCAAAGGATGTTGAATAAAGTTTTCATACCTTTCATAGTTCTGACAAAAAATCAGGAGCTGCTTGGCAGACAACTCTCATTTTGGAGTGATTTACACTCAGATTTGTCACAGGACATAAAACTGATGCGGGTTCAGATCCACTGAGATCAAATATCAAGACATGTCTGGATGAACAACTTTTCCAGTTTTCCATTGCCTGAGTCTGTAGACAACCAGATGTTTAAACAAAAACTGCTGGTCAAAGAAACACTAAAATCCAGCCTAACACGACACCAGGGCAGCTTTTTATTCTTTAGCAATTACAGTCCACTAAACCACCTACTTATTCTTTCAAAGATATAAATGAAGAGTTATTTTAGCTCTTTCTTACATTGTCTTTACTTCTGTCAGTATTATTTTTTCTTTTTGCCTTTTACCACTTCTCCTCCTGCCTGCTTGAGTATTTAAATCTAGGTCAAAGTGGAGAAAAGCCCTTTTTCCCCTTCCTTTCCTGCATACACATTCCCTGTGCACAGTCTGATCTGTGCTGCACACCCAGATGCAGTGCACAGCCCTCGGCTGGAGATTCAGCTATAGAAGAACTCCAGTCATGGAGGGTTTTATCAAAAAAAGCAGAATCAAGACTGAGATAGTTTTATTTATTCTGTACATGTCTACACAGATGCATATGGCAATGTGAATTTCCTGTTATCATTGGATTTGGCTGCTATTCCACATACATTGCTGCTGGTCTCTTTCCTAAGTAGTTATGGGTGCAAAAGAAACTTCAGGCAATAAAACTCCAAAGGAATTAAAAACCTCAATCAGCATGAAGCAGCCTTACCCACCTTAATTGCCCTGGACATCATATTTAAAACATTTATAAAAGCAAATCATTAATGCTTCTGTTTAGTTACTCTGCAGGTGCCTCCAACTGGCTCCTGATTGTGCCTAATTAAACAGTTCTGAACATTAATGCATCGTCGAGCTTCAGCAGTTGCCGTTTAATGAAGTTGTGTCAAATATTTCATCTGGGAATTTTTTTGGGGGGTGAATGCATGTGCTTGGGGCCATCTGGTGGAGCAGGACTACAACGCACTGAACGTGCTGCTGCCCACCCGGGGCAGACTCCCCTGGCCATGCCCGGGCATCCCGGGCATCCCGGGCATCCCACCCTGCCAGCACAGCCAGCCCTGGCTGCTCTCCTTCATGGACTCAGCTGGCCACTCCCGGGCATGAGGAACCCCTGAGGGAGCTGGGGGTGCTCAGCCTGAGAAAAGGAGACTCAGGGGTGACCCCATCACTCTCCACAGCTCCTGGAAGGTGGCTGTGCTCAGCTGGGGTTGGGCTCTTTCTCCAGGACCTGACAGAACCAGAGCACACAGCCTCAAGGGAAATCCAGGTTGGATATCAGGAAAAAGTTTTTCACAGAAAGGTGATAAAGTTCTGGAATGGCTGCCCAGGGAGGTGGTGGAGTCCCCACCCCTGGGTGTGTTTAACAAAGCCTGGATGTGGCACTGGGTGCCAGGGTTGAGTTGAGGTGTTGGGGCTGGGTTGGACACGATGATCTTGAAGGTCTCTTCCAACCCAGTGATTCTGGAATTCTGTGACATCCCAGACATCCCATCCTGCCAGGACATCCAGCCCTCTGTGCTCTCCTTTATGGACTCACCTGGCCACTGCCAGGCATCCCAGATATCCCACCCCTACAGAACAGCCAGCCCTCCGGGCTCTCCTCTATCTGTTGTCCATGGAATTTCTCTACTAAACCCTGACTTTTTTCAAAATGTGTCCTTTATAACTCTTCTAGACCAAGAAATGTTTTCAGCCAGTACAGCACTGCCTCTAATTATCATCATCTTGGGAAAATTTGATTAGTCTAAACAATTAAATTCACATATACATGAAACTGAGATAAATTATTTATGAGCCAATTGACATTTACACCACTGGTGCTGTTAGTACTCAATATACTGTGTGTATTGTTATGGGGTTACTGTTGTAAAAGTATTCATGCTCCCATTATAAACTTGTGATAAATTCAAGTCTTTAACCTTTACAATATTTAGGGCTCTTGTGCAGTGTTTAGCAAGAGACTGTGACTTAAAGCAGAC